AGAGTGGTTCCTATCGAAAGTGAACCCCAAGGGCGAGGTGCGATTCACCGGCACTCATATACCTTTTCTCTGTACTCACGCCGGACATATATCCCCGGGTCAGGTCCCTGCCATCGCATACGGCGGCCCAAAGGTCGCACCGGAGAACCCCTCCCCCGAGTCCGTGAAGCTCGCCGAGTCGCTCGTCCTGCTCGAATTTGTCTCCGAGCTCTACCCAAATGCGAACTTGCACCCAAAAGATCCCGTCGACCGCGCCCGTGCCCGCTTCTTCATTGACGCCTCCACCAAAATCACTCAATTCTACTCATTCATTCTCCAGCCCGGCACAAGCCCCGACGAATTCATCGAGAGGCTGCGGAGCCTGCAGGCCCTGCTGCCGCCCGGCGGCGGGTGGGCAGTCGGCCCTCAGTTCACGATTGCGGATGCGGCGTTCGCGCCGTTCCTCGGCCGCATTGAGCTTTTCCTTCGTAATGGCGTCGGGAGATATGATCCCGCCGAGGGGAAAAGGGTGTACGAGCTGCTCTTTAAGAGCACCGAGTTCGCGCGGCTGCAGCAGTACTGGAGGGATATTGCAGCACGGCCGAGCTTCAAGGCCTCGTTTGATGAGGTGAGTGCCGGATTTGCTGCACATCTCAAGCTGGATGGACGGTGCTGAACGATGTGGTGTAGGCTGATTTGCTGATTTATGGGAGGGAATGGATTAAAAAGAAAACGGGTGAAAATAGCTCGAATTAGGGCCTCTAGGGTCTCTGAAGGAATTATTATGCTCCTTTATCGGCGTGTAGGATAAGATGGGACAATGAACCTTTCTCGAAGTATGTATATCTAGGGTAGTCTCGTTCCGGAGCCTGGAGAATTTGTCTTGTCAAACATCGTATACCTATGGTCCGTTCCCTGGATAGTGAAATTACAATTGTTTGTACAGGTGAAAGCCAGCCAGTCGAGATGAGACTACAGTATATGCATCGGAAGAAGGACGACGTCTGGCATCTAGGAGAGAGACTTGAAGTGCAAGAGCAACACAGAGCATGTCGCGAACAGACGTGGACTCGCAGAGCTGCCGCCAGTCGCATATTGTGAGAACCGGGCTCAAGAACAAGCATGAATCGGGCGGGATCTGAGAAGAGGCGTGCAAGAGGGAAGAGACGAGACAGGCCTGAAAAGGTCGTGCAGCCTTGAGGACATAGAGGAGCGAGAGCTTGGCAGAGCAGACACATATTCTTTTTTCTGGAAAGAATTGATACTAGATGCCGAATTAAATTCAGTAAGTGTCCGAAGCCAACCTTGAGATGACAGGAGCCTGACCTACGGCGCCTTTCCAATCTACAGGATATCTGTGGCGCCAGTAGTGTGGTCTGCCTGAGCCGGGCGGCTCGGATATGCAGCCAGAAATTTCGAGATATATTCGGCTACGACGGGCCCGCCGACGTAGCGGCCCAGCGCGACAAGTGTTTCGGCGGTGTCATCCACAGGCAGGTCGGGGTAGTCGGAAAGGTACCCAAGCACACCTGGAAATGTTCTGGAGCGATGAAAATGCATGTTGTTGCTATCCCAAGTTGGGTCGAGAAGGACGGCCGGGCCAAGCTGTCTCTTTGTCAGGAATCAAGAAACCCGCACGACAGCGATAGAACTCGCCTGAAGATACAGCACGGTCAGACGGGCGCGAGAACGGCCCCCGTGAACGCGTATCCGGATGAAAGCCTTGGTGGCTTCCTCGAACTCGAAATCCTTGATGCGCGCTTCGCCATCCATCGGAGCGAGATGGGCCCAGTCCGGCTGGTTCCGCAGCCATTCGTAATATTGGCGTGCGATAAGTGCGTTGCGCCAATCTTTGCTGCTAGGGCCTCTGCTGTACATCTCGTACTCGCGCTGGTAGAGCAGAGCCTCGACTTTGCTTATGAGTTTGAACAGCCAGCGGAAGCCAGACGGCTTGCGCATTAGGAACTGCTACGGTGAGTATGTGAAGATGAAGGTTTGCGGAGGGACGTACGCCGTGTCTGGTGACAAGGCGATCCTCCACGCTTGCATTCACGAGATCGAGCGACTGCCGGCAGAAACGCAAGAGATCACTGCGTGCGGCTGCATCTGAGCTGTCATGAAGGGTGCCCTGGTGGTGGGTCAGCGGCGCATGCATATTTTGCGATGAGCACTCGTACCCAATCTGAGTCTGTCTCCGGCGGTTCAAACCCGCGATATGAACGCGCCAGCGCCCCGTCTTCTAGCACGGCATATGTATCGCCGCTGAGTGGGTTCGCGACTAGAAGACGAGCAAGTTCTATGGGTTTTACTGGTGGATTGAGTGCTGCTTGCGACAAGATGGCGGCACCGCGTCGAACGATCTCTGCACGTTTCTGTGTCGCCTCTACGATGGTCGAATCTTTTTGCAAAGGAGGCGAAAGCTCTACTTCATTTGAGCCTTGGTCACGATCTTCCTCGTCTTCAGATCCTTCTTCCTCCTCGTCTTTTTGAGCTAATGTTCGTTCTTTATCTTTATCCTCAGACGATTGCTTGGAGACGGATTGCGGAACAGATGCTACAACCTGGGAAACCATCCTCTAGCTATCTGTAGAGGGAGAATATGTGTCGAGCCTGAGGCAGTGGATAAGAAACAGGGCGACGGTCAATAAATTGGATGAAATTTCGAAAATGGCCTCTAATGACGTCACCAAATAGTGATGTGCACGCGCTCATGTCACGCTCACAGCACTGATCACGAGGATACTTCAGCAAAAGTAGGCAGCAATCTTTCCAAGAGATGCATTCGTACCCTCCCCTAGAACCATAACAGAATCAGATCTTCAAATACGGCCAGAGAATCTCAGAAAGAAGGAATAAGGTTCAAACGATCAGAGAGTTCAGCTGTGTATTTGCGATCACTGCCGCGGGGCGCGAAAATCGCGCCGTTCCTCAGGTGCGCCGAAGACTCAGCTCAGCAAAAAGCAGCTGGACGACATAAGGAATGACTGGTCCGGATTTCCAAAGAACATCGTATCCATAAATCGAAGTGACTGGAGTACGCGGCCTTCCCTGAAGTATGTCCATAAAGAATAGCCAGGAAGCAACGCTTCATGCAGCAGATAGCTCTATCCCTAGACCGGAGTATCTGCGACCCTGTACACGAGCTTTGATCCCGAAACCTGGTGTCACAAACAGTAATCAGATACTGATTCGGCCTTGGAAAGTTTACAAGATACGCACCTTTCCGGCTTTCATGAAATCGAGACCATCCTGTATGCCGCTCAACCCTCCCGGACGTACAGTGACAGGGTTAGGTTTAAGTCGCCCCTCTTGCAACCAACGCGCCGCATTCTCGAAGAAAGCGACCCCAAGGTCGAAGTCAGCCTTGTTGCGCTGTTACGCACCAACCTTCTAAGTAAAAATCACCACTTGTGACATGAAATAGCGAAACATACCGGATAATACACGCCTCCAATACTGAGATCATCATTCAAGAGTGCCGAAGGGACACTCTGATAATAATCCGCGCTCTGATTCAGATTGCTCAGATCCACCGCATTCACGAGCGCGACCTTCCGCGGGCCGTCCTTCCTGAGCGTCTTGGAAGCCAGTTCCGCACTGTTGCCCTCGGATATGGCGTCGAACACGTAGTCGACCCCGTCCCGGCCAGACGCGGCAACGATCTGTTCGACCACATCAGGGGCGCGGTAGTCGATTGCGACGGTGGCGCCGAGGCTCTTGACAAGGGCGTGATTCTTGGGCGAGGCAGTCGTGATGACTTTGTAGCCCGCGATGTGTGCGAGCTGGATTGCGAACTGTCCAACGGAGGCTGCGCCGACTGGTCAGTGAGCGCGCAGAGTACGACGATAGGACGTGCACGTACATGAGCCGCCCCAGATGAGGATCGCCCTCCCGCCCAGCGGCGCACGTTTTGGGACACCCGAGATGACGTTGAGCAGATGCAGAGCGCTCAACGACGCGAGTGGGATCGTGGACGCTTCTTCGTCCGTGATGTTGTCTGGGACACGCAGGAGCGGCTTCGCAGCTGCGAGGGTGTACTCGCAGAATGCGTTCTGTGCTGTCTTAACCGAGTTCACGGGGACGTGGCAGCTGGCAACCTGAACACGATCGTAAATCCAAGACGAGTAGCATCCCGAATGCGCGGGCACTTACCCGATCTCCAATCTTGTATTCGGTGACACCCTCGCCGAGGGCTACGATACTGCCAGCAAAGTCCCATCCCATACCTTGTCCTGCGGACACCATGCCATAGTCGATTATTTTCCCTGTGAAGCGAACGATTTCAGACACGAAAATTATACCAGAAGAAACGGGCAAGACGTACAATCGGCAGGGTTCTGCGCGACGGCGGCATTCTTGATGAGAACTTGACCAGGTCCGGGTGTGTCGAGAGGGACGGTCTCCAACGCGATAGCCTTGGTATCCGCTTGAAAGGTAAGAACGCGCTGGGTAGGGGGTAAAGCAGATGCCATCGTATTCAGATGATTCGTCCGTGAAAATAAGGGTAAATTGAGGTGTTGGACGGTCGTCGACGTTCAAGGACTTTATATCCCTCGACATGTTCCAGAATTCGGGAACATCTACGTGTGTCTGGGTGTTATTCAGCTGCGGAATGCTCCTGGTTCATGCGGCGTTAAGAGTCTTCAATGCTTGTAACGCCGACGCGTCATACAGGACGTTGCTTACTGAGCGGCTGGGCATGTCCACCCTCACAAGCAGGGTAATAGAGGTGTTGAGGAAATGTTGTACAACGATGAGTTTTGCGTGTCTGTCGCGATGCATGGCTGCAGGAGAAGGGAGGATGCAGCATGGATGAATGAAACATCGTTGAGGAGTACTTACGTACTACTGTGGTCCACTAGAGTCTGGGGACTGCCGAGGTGCCCAAGTTGGTCCTCACGGGCCCCGCACGACGAGAACAACTTCCAAACAATTCATGTCTTGCCCATATACTTATGCTGTCCTTGCCAGTTGATTAAACCTGCCCGGGATTCAAAAGAGTAAATAGGAGACAAAAGATTAGGCGCTACCAGGGTTCGAACCTGGGTTTCGGGAAGACAAGCTGATGCTTCAAAATCCCGAGTGATAACCACTACACTATAGTGCCTTGCGACACTCATTCTTCTTACCAATTGTATCAGACGGGTGAAGGATATATTTCGTTGTCATATGTCGGTCCTTTCGCTCAAGACTGCGGCAGAGCACGAGAGTAGGCAAAACCTCAAAGGAGCCTGGCGCGATCATGAAATGCCAGAGACAACGTTCTGCAACAACCTTGGTGTCGACTGCGGAGCTAGGCTACATCGAGGCGCCCCGGCTGCGGAAAAGGCTAAGCCTAAGCTGTCGATTTAGCTTCTTCCGACGCTGGGAGGTAAAAAGAGACATAAAAAGCCCAGACGTCGAATGATAGTTACATGCGAGACGCGAGGCTACGAGACAGAACCACCTCTGTGTCTGTCATAGAAGGAAGAGGAAAGGAGCAGAAGGCCAAAGAAAGAGAGAGAACATCGGGGACGATTGGGTGGCTGAGTCAATAAATTGCCTGAACGGGGCACAACGGTGGCTGGGGCTGCTGACATCAGCGACAACAAGCGGCAACAAGAGGTCGGCAGAGCCACGCACCGCAGCTCCTCTTCACCTCCGCAACAATCTCATCTTGTCTCTCCGTCCGACTGCAACATGCTGGTCGACAACCCGCTACAGCCGTCTCCGTTTACTCTCAACAACACAGACATGTCCGAGTTTTTCAACTTGGATCTCATGCTTGGCTCCAACTCACAGCAACAGGCAGCCTCGTCCTCTCGCTCTTCCTCCCATTCTCCTCATAGTGCTTTCTCCTCCCTTCCATCCCCTCCGACTTCATTTAACCCCAATATCTCCATCAACGACACTCAGGCCACCGACTTCTTCAACTTCTACCTCGAGGACGAGTATGCAAAGGTCGACCCACTTGCTCCACCCCCGATGGCGACAAGCGCCGCCCCGTTCGATTTTCTTGGTGCTTTCGCCCCGAGCGGCAGCAGCCCCGAATCCGGAAACGGGAGTGCCGATCAGTCGCCACCTTTCTCCATCGATCCTCAACTCGTGGGCACGCCTGCCACTTCCAAGGCTCTCAGCGATATCGATGAGCACGAGGAGGCCGAGATGAAACACGAGGACGACCATGAGGATGACGAGGACGACGAGTCGCTCGCTTCCATTATGCCCGTCAAGGTGGGCGGCAAAGGCAAGGGTCGCCGTGGAACAGTCCAGTCTGGCGGTATCACAAAGAAGACAGCGCCCGTCGTCAGCGCAGTCGTGCGCGTGAGGGACGACGACAAAGACGACGACTGGAGGCCGTCTCCCGAGGAGTACAAGAAGATGTCGAGCAAGGAGAAGAGGCAACTCAGGAATAAGATCAGTGCTCGGAATTTCCGTGTCCGCCGCAAGGGTCAGTCATTTTCACTTTGTTCCCCCTTTGCCTATGTTTTTGGACGTCGACTCCTAACATGTCGCCTCGCAGAATACATCTCGACACTGGAAGGCGATATTGCCGAGCGGGACCGCCTCATTGACGCCATCCGCACCGAGCTGGGCTCGACCAAGTCTGAGAACACCGCGCTGCGCAATGAGATCTCGTCGCTCAAGAAGGCGCTCCTCGCCGGCGCCGGCCGGGCCGAGTCCCCGGTGCTCCCGCCGCCTGGGCCGCTCCCCGCGCCCGCCGCACGGCCGGCCTCGACGAAACCGGCGCTGCTCACACCAAATATGCACAAGGACTTGCCGACTTCGCCGCGGATGGGCAGCGGCAAGGCCTTTTGGGGCGGAAGCGCCGCTTTCGGCGGCATTACCCCCGTGCACACGACCCTCATCCCAGAGTCCTTCGCCCAGCCCCTGGTCGGCAAGCCTGTCACTCCCAGGAACTCCTCGCTCCAGGAGAACATCAACCCTTCACTCAACGGCAGCAACACGACCGGCCTCGCGGCAGCGGCGTTTGGCAGCGGCCCCGGCAAGGCGGGCAAGCCCTCGCCGGCTGCGTTCGACATGTTCGCGGACTCGAACCCGTTCACGATGAAGATGCTCGATGCGTATGTTCAGATTGTTCTCTCCCACTGAAAGTTCCGTGGCTGACCCAAATTCCAGGTATCGTATGCAGCTTTGGACTCGTATGGCGGCCCAGCAACAGCACCAGAACCAGCTCGCCGCTTCGCAAACCCCAGCGCCTCACAAGCCGATCACTGGCCTGGCTTCGAACCTGCGGCCGCACTACTTCACGAGCGCCGCGCCGTCCAAGGCCGTTCTCCAGCCCTCGAGCTCGAACTCACCCCTTTCTGCGCTGCTCGCGGGCAAGCATTACCCCACTCCGCCAACCTCGCCCAAGCTCACGCCCACGGCGACGCCGAAACGCGACTCGCATGCGACGAATGCAGAGCACGCGATGATCGCCGCGATGGCGTCGCAGACGCTTTTCCAGCGTCTCGGTTCTGCCTTCTGGGACGCTTTCTCTGGCTCATCGCCTGTTTCGTCCGCGGCTGCTGCATCTGGCTCGAGCTCATCTCGCCCCCAGTGGGACGCAGACAAGGTGCGGCGCGTGCTCGAGGGCAAGGCCGTCGTGCGGGTCGTCGACATCGAGGAGCCTCGCGCCCCTGCTGCTGCTTCGCCGTCCATCCGGAAGATGCAGAGCACACCGCAGATGCAGACCGCGAGGGACAAGCACTGCGATTGTTTCACGAAGACTTTGGAGGAGAGCATGCGTGCTCTCAGCTTGGGGAAGAAGCAGGCGTAGACGGGTGGTGGTTGGGAGATTTGGAGGAAGTGAATCGTGTTTGGTTGTGTAGGATCGTGGGTTCAGTGGACCAGGGCCGGGCCAAGTCTTTCGTTATCCCTCCATTTTCCTTCCGGATGCAATAGCATCTTGCGAGCGCATTTTGACGCTGCGCGATCACACTCATTCTTGGAAGCACCTTCAGATCCCATTTTTCGCTTCATGCCTCGCCCTAGGCCGCCCTTCCCCCGCTCCTACTCTGTTATGCACGTTCACGTCCCCCTTTTCTTTTTTGGTCACCCTCTCTACACGGACTCCGTTTTCTCACTATCGTCAAAGTTATCCCGTCGCATATGCATGTCGCCTAATTTGCTCACCCCATCCATCCCCATATCGCATACATCCCCTTGCATATACGCATCCCAGTTCTGCATCCCACTCTCCGTCATCAGTGTCTCGGCCTCCGTCGATACAGTAAGCATTCATACGTACATATTGCTCCCCACTCCCGTATCGGTATTCGTTCTCATCTTCTCCTAATTATTCGGTTTGCTGGTTCCGTTGTCTGGTATTGTCGCCTTGCTTTTTGTGGCTGCTCGTTGTTGTGAGGGCGGGAGGGGAGAGGCTGGGTGGGGTGATGAGAAGGAAAGTTAGTAGGAAGTGTACGTTACGATTGTCTGGCGTTGGCCTTGTATATAGCGAAATCGTTGAACAATCATTTCAGTTGTGCATCCGCGTTATTGAAGCTCTTGATCACATTGATACTGAAGGGGTGACATTCTTGCTTGCCTGACGCCCGCGTAAAAGATTATTGACATTTTCCCATCGTGCATCAATGTTCGACACCCAATGCTTGGGCCGCTGCTTCAGAATGTCGACGACCTTTTCCCCTTCGTTAACGTTAGGTTCTCTTAGGTTCTCTTGCTGCCAGCCCTCGGCTCCTCTGTTCGACGATACCACCGACAACCGCTGCGACCATCCGATCGTCTCTAGCTGGACTTCATACTTCTCTTCGCTCGGGAGCGCCCGTGATATGACGGGTGCACATAAACTACCTGGCTTCTCTTCTCGGAACCCGCTCTTCATTAGATAAGTAATAGTATTGAGTTCTAAGTGTGGTGGTATTACGAGAACATTTGAAAAAAGTAAAAGCAACGTATATCCCAACCTGCCCCGAGCTTCACTAACTTTCCCTCGAAAGATGAGCCTTTGCATGTGCCACCAAGACCGCCTGCATCGTCGAAATGAGCTATGCATCACGCGAGTGGCGTAAAAAACCCTCAGAGCACTCACCTCGTCATACGTAGCCTTGAAGCTCGGACGCGCTGCGATGTCCTTCCAATACTGCTGCAGCCGCGCGAACTCGGTGCCCTCGAACAGTCGCTTGTGGAGCTTCGGCCCTTCGCCAACAGGATACTTCCCGAGATCATTGCGGAGGTACAGCTCGATGCGGCCGACGAACGGCGCGACCGCGGCATCGGCAAACGAGAACTCAGGCCCGATCGCCCACCCGCCGCCCGGCGGCAGCAGCGACTGCAGGTTGCGCAGGCTCTCGACGAGCGCGTCGGCCGCCCCGCCGCGCAGCATGAACGCGAAGAGCGACGTGAAGACGCTCGCGGTGCGCTCGATGAAGAGCCGCGCGCGGGCGCGGTCGACGGGCGCCTTCGGGTACAGGTTCGAGTTGGGGTACAGATCGATAACGAACTGTAGCATGACGAGCGATTCGGCGAGCTTGACGGAGTCGGGGGAGGGTTCCTCGGGTGGGACGTTCGGGCCGCCGTATGTCATCGCAGGGACCTGAGTTCGTACGTCAGATACGCAGGCGAGACTAGTCAGGCATTGAGGGGACGTGCCTTCCCCGCAGGGTTCACTTTCGACAGGTACCACTCTGGCTTGTTTTGCAGATCGATCACGTACTTCTTCGGATGCACGCCGGCTTCCTCGAAAGCAATTTCAACCTAGTTGTAACATTTGAGAGGTCTTCGTATGCTCGATCTACTGCGGACTTACGCGTTGAGCAAAGGGGCAGCCCTGCCAATGACGATCGGATTGGTTAGGACGCGGGACGAATAATCGGATAAGCAACAATACTGACCGGCGTCGAGTACAAAGTGAGTTCTTGGGAAGCCATGGGTGATGTTTGGGTAATGTGGTCGAGGAAAACGGGGGTAATATGGACAGTAGCCTGGAATGAACGACTCGCCCTATGTCCCTATATATATTATCGCGCAGGCAGTGGCCTGTCTTATAAAGTGCAACACTCTGAAGAGATGAAACTCCCAAATGCCTTGACGTGAACAGCAGAACAAAACCTTGAGTTCGTTGACTCAGCGACTCGACCAAGATTACGATATTCTCGCTAGTAA